TTCAGCGGCTACAACTCGTTCTTCATCAGGAAAGAGACATCAGCAGTGCATGTAATCCTCAGCTTCACCTTGCACAGCCAGTGAAACATGAGGATTTATTCTCCTTTCCCTCCAATTTCAACTTGGATGAAGAAAAAAAAATGCTAGAGCAAGGCTGGACTCGGATTGATCATGGTCCTCCTTGAGAACTATTGGCATCTCAGTGAAGTAAATAGAAACCACATTCTTTATCTCTTAACCCACTGACTAGTATGCTCCCATATAGGACACACACTATGTTACCTGCTGCACACACACACACACACACACACACACACACACACACACACACACACACACACGAATAAACAAATGTCTACGAATCTACTACAAAAAATTGGCCACTGAATAAATGATTTGTAATACCAAAGAACAGTAATTTAGTTGTGTTGTAGAAGGCACAGTGAAAGATAGCAATTTTCACTAATGCTAATTTGTAAATGTCTTAAAGATATTTGGCTCATTAAGTACCAATAGGTTGATGCATATGTTAAAAGGAAAATAATGTGCAGTAAAGAATCTATAGCCTTATTAGTCCTGGCATAGCTCTTAATCTTAAGCACCAGAGAGGGATCACAATCAAGATAGAGGGCCAGGACCTAATACAAGGAAGATATTTTCTTCTTTATGATATTACAAAAACTGAATGTAATCTGTTAGTTATTGGTAGTAGGTAAAATGAATTCTGCTTTTATATTTGATACTTTCTTATTCTTAAAATTTTCTTCTTTTGTAGTTTCTTTTTCCCCAGATTTTTTAAAATTTAAATTAGAAACAATCTTATTTTACATATCAATCCTAGTTCCCTCTCCCTCCCATCGACCCATGCTCCCCACCAACCCTATATCCCATCCCCCTTCTGCTTCCCAGGGAGAGTGAGACCTTCCAGGGGGATCATCAAAGTCTGTCACATCATTTGGGGCAGGGGCTAGACCCTCTATGGGGAATGGGCTCCCAAAGTCCATTGGCACACTAGGGATAAATACTGTTCCACTACCAGAGGCCTCTAGACTTTCCAGGCCTCCTAACTGGCACCCTCGTTCAGGGGGACTGGATCAGTCTTATGCTGGTTTCCTAGCTGTCAGTCTGGGGACCATGAGCTCCCACTTGCTCAGGTCAGTTGTTTCTGTGGGTTTACCCAGCATGGTCTTGACCTCTTTGCTCATCACTCCTCCCTCTCTACAACTGGATTCCAGGAGTTCCACTCACTGCTTAGCTGTGGGTCTCTGCTTCTGCTTTCATCAGTTACTGGATGAAAGCTCTCGGATGGCATATAAGGTAGTCATCAATCTCATTATAGGAGAAGTGCATTTAAGGTAGCCTCTCTACTATTGCTTAGATTGTTAGTTGGGGTCATCCTTGTAGATCTCTGGAAATTTCCCGATTGCTAGATTTCTCTCTAAATGTATAATGGCTCCCTCTATTAAGCTGTCTCTTTTCTTGCTCTCCTCTATTTTTTCCTGACTCAATCTTCCTGCTCCCTCATGTCCTCCTCCCCCTCCTCTTCTCCCCTTCTCTATAGGGAAGAGGTAGTTTCTTTTTAAATCTGTTCTTTTTCTGCCTCTGTATTTTGCTGAACTCTAGTCTTATTTACTGAAATGATTAAGTTCCTGTGGCTTTAAGTATTCCTTCTCTTTGCAGATGACTACTGCCTCACACTTACATCTTGCTTTTTCTCTCCCAGTGGAGAGAAAGCCACATTTATCGAACTCCCACTTACTCTATTTTTACTTTACTCCCTTTCTTTCTTGGTCTTCCCTGGCAAGCTATCTCCCTATCTTAAGGGATAAAATACGCTGTAAGATTATACTATTAGTTGTAGATTTACTCTGTATAGTTAGCATGATGACACATTAGGAATATTAGATTTGTCAAATGTGCAATGTAAAATCATTTATCAGCTGGACTGTAATTCCTCACTGTCATTCTCTTTGTGTTTGTATCCATTAATTATGGTGCTATGTTTTCCATAAACATATGAATTATAATCACATATGAGTGAAGACTAAGATAGTAACTGGAATTAAAATGAGTTAAAAGATAAAATGGCTTAATTAAAATAGAATAGATTGTCTTAGGTGTCTAAATGCTTAGCTTCCATCAGAATCAGTGGTTATTTATCAGAATCAATTTCTTTCTAATTATTTGTGGGGTGTTTTCAGAGTCTGTCACATCCTTTGGGATAGAGCCTAGGCCCTCCCCTGTTTGTCTAGGCTGAGGGAGTGTCCCTCTATGTGAAATGAGATCCCAAAGTCCATTCCTAAGCTAAGGAAAATTACTAGTATAAGATCTACTATGAGGCTCCATATATTTCAGAGGCCTCCTCACTGACACCCACATTTATGGGTCTGGATCAGTTTTATGCTGGTTTCCCAGTGCTCAGGCTGGGGGCCAAGAGCTACCTCTTGTTCAGGTCAGTTGTTTCTGTGGGTTTCACCAGCCTTGTCTTAATTCCTTTGCTCATCACTCCTCCCTCTCTGCATCTGGATTCTTCTAGAGTTCAGTTCAGTATTTAGCTGTGGGTGTCCGCTTCTGCTTCCATCAGCTACTGGGTGAATGCTCTATGATGGCATATAAGGTAGTCATCAATCTCATTATCGGGAAGGGTGTTTAACAATGCAATCTTGAAATTTACAGGCAAATGGATGGAACTAGAAGAAACCATCCTGAGCCAGGTAACCTAGTCACTAAAAAACAAGCAAGGTATGTTCTCACTCATATATAGATTTTAGACATAGAGTAAAGGAGTACCAGCCTACAATCCACATCTCCAGAGAAACTAGGAAATAAGGAGGAACCTAAGAGAGACATACATGGAGAAGGGAAAGGGACAAGATCTCCTGAGAAAATTGGGAGCATGGGGTGGTGTCAGTGATCGGGATAACCCCATGCCCCAAGGTTTCCAGAGAAAGAGAAAAACCTGCCGCCACAGCCTGCCCTGTCGGGCCATGGAGAGGCATTGGAGCAGCTTCCATATGCTCGCACCATTTCGGCGCTCTTGGGCGTTGGACTTGGCACTCCCGAGATGATAAAGACAGATCCAGATAAAGAAAAACCTCTAAAGGCTTACATTACATTTAAAAATAAATAGTAGCCAGTTGTGATGGCACACACTGGTAGGATTTGCTGAAGGAAGCAGAGGCAGATGGATTTCCACAGAGAAACCCTGTCTCGGGGGGAAAAGAAACAAATAAAAGTAAAAATAAAGTAATAAAAAAGCCACATAAAGATGGAAAATACACAGAGAATCTGGATACTATATGCCCTATTGTTGTCTTTAAATTGTTTAATTGCTGAGGAAAGACTTACTGCTATTAAAATACATTCGATTATAAATGCTGCTAAATTAATCCAACTTATACATTTTAAAAATGCTCTAACTTCAGGATTTAAGTTTAAGGACAGGCTACTTAGAAATAAAGATTTTGCTTGTATTTCCACAGAAAATCAAAAGCTTTGGATTCCTTCCAGACTAATATGGTTTGATCAATCAAGACCCCCTAAAGCTGAGACGATACAGCCTCACAGACTACAAAAACAAGGACTTGGTCAGGTTTCTATGTTTCATCATGATCCCTATGGTATATGAACATTGTCCCCAATCAGTAGGAAGCAGTTTAGAAAGAACGACGCCCATATTCCCAAATATTGTTTATAAATGTTTGTTTTCATTTAAATGAGGTTAGTTATATAATGAGCAGAGTCAATCTCCTCTTAAAGAAAGAAAAGGGGAATAGGATATAGGAATGAATACTTTTCATTGGTATAGATTTTCATTTATTGATACAACTTTAAGGTCAATTTTGTGATATGTATATGTCTCCTCTTGTTTAGTTAGGTATTGTGTTTATACAGATCTTTTACCTATAATAGTCAGAATTTATAATTAGGTTAGCTAGGTTTTCTATATATAGAGATGTATTTAAGATAGATAGGTATTCTTCAAACCTTTCAAAGACCTAAAGAAAAATGGCATTTAAATGGTTTAGGGTTTTTCTTGGCAGTGAGACACAACTGCT